TCTTGAGGCGGTGTCTGCTGCCGTGTGCTGTGCTCCAAGCCTGGCCCTCTCTTATCTGCACAGCAGCCGTCAAAGGTGCTGCAAGAATCAGGTCTCTCTATCAACCTGCTCTCCATTGAATTCTCAGCATCAGCGCAAGCCATCCCTCCTGGAAACCCGGCAGCAGGAACTCATGCGGCATTCTCAGTCAACTGCAGGCATGAGGAAACCGTGACTCCATTCTCCAGGGAGGGAAGGCTAACAGCCCAGTCGGGGGGGGGGGGGGCTGCCAAAGAGGAAAAAATGGACAGCCCCTTCTGTCTGTCCTGCCCCTCCTGCTTTGTGGCTGTGGTATCCTGCCCTTCACTTTGTGGCTGTGGTGTCCTTCACGACTGCAGTATCATGTCCCTTCCCCCCTTTGTGGCTGTGGTATCCTGCCCCCCAGTTTGTGGTTGTGGTGTCCTGCTTTCCCAGGCTTCTGTCAGCTGAGTGCCTTCCCTTCTGCCTTGATCTGCTATGGGTTGGCCGATACATTAACACTCATGGATACTCCAGGCACTCTGTGGCTTCCTGTGTGGATATTCACACAGGAATCTTAATATATAAGAAAGGAGTGTGTGTGTGTATGCGTGTGTGTGTGTGCATGTATGTGTGTGTGTGCTACTCAAAAACAGATTTCCATATATGGAGATACTGTTTGGTTCTGATGTCTCTTGTATTGCAACATCTAATCCTTTAGACTTTTTAGTATGCAAAGACTAACCAGAGATGTCTTCCAAGCCAGTATTCTAGCCCTGGGCACGCCAGCCATTTTCTGGGCCCAGCTTCACTCCCTGATAGTACAAACTGTCTTCCTGAGAAAGGTGGCCTCACCCTCTCTGACTCTCTCATCATTTGAGAGAGGCTTGCTCAGGTTCCTGACACAGTCACAGGCTCACACACAGTCCACAGAGGTTTGTAGCACACTGTGGAAAGGCAGACCCTGCTTGTGAAGCAGAGAAGGCAAGTGAGACAAGAGGGCCATTTCAGGACAAGAAAGGAATAAACTCGTCCACAAATTACATAACACATGAAGTGCATGATACATCAGCAAGGACTATGTTAGGTCTCAAACTCTCGGGGAGAATAAAGAATACTCCCCTGGCCTGCGCTTCTGTTCAATACTAAAAATGAGTTAGGATGCAAATTCCAATTATCTCAGACCTGTAATAACACCCACACTTAGAGACAACGATAAAACAAGCAGAGAGCTCTTCTCTCCACGTATACCCCTATAGCTACAGCGCTGAGACAACGAAGTTCATTGTCTCGTGCTTGCTACCCTGAGCAGTTCTGTGGCTCCCCAGGTCCACGGTCCCTGTTACAGGAAAGTTATCTTGTCGGCCTTTTTTTACATGTGGAGAGAAGGGGTCCAGAGTCAACACTGTCTACTGAGATGAACCTGGGCTTGCTGCTGGATGGACACCCCCAGATTTCCACCCCAGCCTTTACAGAGAGCAGCTAGCACGTAGTGTGCTGTGTAATTGACTCCAATCAGTCCCAGTCTCTGCTGCTGCACAAGAAACAACCCCCAAAACAAACAACCCCAAAATAGAGGGCTTCATACGGTAGTGGCTTTCCCTTAACTCACTGTTCTGTGGATCAGGAATTGTGGGAGAACTTGCCTGGGTGGTTTTCCTCTCTCTCAGTATGGACTGGGAGAATTACCCATCTGTCAGTGGGTCTGGTCAAGTTGACCTTGTCCATCTGGTAGGGACAGCTAGGACACTGTGGTGGCTAGAGAGAGAAATGGCAACCATAGGCTCCCGTAATTAAACAGCTGGCTCCCAGATGGGGCATTGTTTGAGAAGAGTTACGGAGCCTTAAGGAAATGGAGCCATGGTGAAGGACATTTGTCATGGGTCTGCTGGCCGCCCTGACCCCCTTGCCATTACGGACTCTCTCCTCTGGGGCTGTAAGCCAACATAAACTCTTGCGTGAGTTGCTTTTGGTCATGGAGTTTTGCTACAACAACAGAAAGTAACAGTTGCACTCTACGCTTGACTTAGCCCTTTTCTTCAGGCCTTCCCTGTGGGAAGCAGAGGAAACTCTGGGTGAGTGTGTGGTGTTGACCTGAGCACAGCTATATCAAGGACCCCAAAGCCTCAGACCCACAGGGATTGGTATCCCGCCCCTGCCCCGGCGAGCCCTCCGTTTTCTCTGAGTGAGAATATTGTTAGTGTGTATAGAAATGAGCAGCTAGAGCTTCCTCCTCCTGGAGGACTACAGGCCCCCAAGACTGCCCCTCAGAGACCTAGTTGGCTAGCTAACCCCTCCCCCTGTGCCGTACATAATAGGATCTGGGTTGTTGCACGGTAATTGTTGCTGCTCCAGCAGAGAAAACATAGCCTACCGGGTCCCAGGTTCTCTGTACTGTGTCTGCCCCTTCTTTCCCGTCCCACCTTAGCCAGGTATATCCACAGAGACATGGTGCACACACCTTCCCTTCTAGGAAAGCGGCTGAACTTCTTACAAGAAGAGTCAAGCACCCTAGCATCAGTGGCCTTCAACTAACAAAAGAGTCTTAAGGCTTGGATCTGAGCCAAGCAGACACAGCCGACCTAACTGAAGCAGAGTAGCAAGTTCACATGACATCTGCCACCACCAGCCTCAAGTGAGGATGCCAACCGCCTAACTAGCGGCTGGATGGATGCTTCCAGAATGGACACTCAGAGTTTTAAGGAATTCCCATACACACGAGAGGAAAGAACTACATATTATCTGCTTTGGCTCCCAGATATCTCCCCACAAATGAATGGCCAGAGGTAGATTTCACGGGGCACGGTGCCTGTTATCATCTATCCGCCTGGGAAGACCGTCAACGAGGACACAGTTGTGAGGTGGTTGTGAGTCTGTTGTCTGGTAGTTTCCCTCTCCTGGGCTGTGCTCAAAAGTGGCCACAAAGATGTCTACCTCCCAATCCCAAATCGACTTTACAGATGTGTTTTGGTTAAAAATGCTGAAATAAAGAGCTGATCCCACGTCACCTGGGCAGGCCCTAGACTAGAGTGGGTAGCAGGGGAAGGGACTGTCGTGGGAGGAGGTAAGAGTGACTGGCAGAGAAGGCCACAACCAGAGAACGCGGGCAGCCCGGAAGTTAGCAGACATGGGGACAAACTGCCCAGTAGGGCCAGCGCTTTGCCTTTGGCCTCAAGGCTAGGAAGAGACGGTTGGCAGTCTGTTAGCAATCGCGGGCAGCACTGGGTGATGCCACACATGGAGTTTCTCTTGAGTGTTCTCCCTCTGTCTTCTATGCTTTAAAATTTCCTTGGCTGAGTAGAGGGGACCTTGGGGACCTGGCCTTGGGGACCAGGACAAATGATGAGAGGAGGCACTAGAGAGTGCTCCCCCAGGGGCTGGGGAGATGGCTCAGTGGTGAGGAGCACATCCTGCTCCCACAGAGGACCCATGTCTGGGTCCCCAAACCAGCATGGCCCACAACCATCTGTGACTCAGGTCTAGGTGTCTAATGCCCTCTTCTGGCCTCTGAAGGCTCCTTCACTCACCCCTTCACAGACACACAAGCATACCCACATACAAATAAATCTCAAACCATCGAGGGATCTTCTACTGACATGAGTCTGTCCTTGATCTAGGTCGTCAGATCAGCCTCTGGGCATCTTTGAGTCTGCAGCGGATGAATGTGTCCAGCCACCTGCTCCTGGTCATCATTCCAGAACCAGGGCGAATCCAGCTTGCTTGAGAGAGTAATGAGGAGATGCTTAGGGTGGCTCAGCTGCATCTGTCATTGCTCCGGCTGGCACTGGTGGTGAGCTGACCCAAAGGAGATGACAGAATACCGGAATTTACAAGTCTGGGCCTGGAGTCCTTCAGGCTCTGAAACCACAGCTGCGCTCTTCCTGTCTCAAGGACCAGCACTGCCCTTCCCTTTTAAGACCTTTAAAGAGTAAGTCGGGTGTTTGGGCACAAGAGGGAGGCCAGGGTTGGTAGCTGTCCCAAGGCCAAGGCTTCCCCTGGATTTGATGCTAACAGGAGTTTTCCTTCTCTGAGTGATGCTGGAACAGCCCCTTCGACAGGCCGTGGGAATGACTCCAAATAGGGAGCAAGCGAGATGATTCAGCAATCACAGCCTGCCAGGGAACAAGGCATTTCTAGCTGCTGACTGAGCTCTGCTACCCAGTTTACTGGCAGCGGCAGCAGCAGTAGCAAGGCCTGGATGTCTTTGCTCTGAGATCATCAACAAGGAGCAGAGTGTCCTTCACTACCCAGTCAGTGGCCTCACCCCAGGCCTGCACAAGCTGTGGACCCCTCAGAAGCCAGCCTGGGGGCCAGTTATCCCAGCAGGAGAGCGACATAAGCTCTCCCAGACAGTCCCAATCACACCCAGATGGTCTGATTCAGGCTGGGGTCACTTAGCTAGGTCTTGATGTAACACATCACTTTCCCCAAAATACTTGTCCACCTACCCCTTAGAAGCTTGCTTATTAGCCGGGTGGTGACAGCACATGCCTTTAATCCTAGCACTTGGGAGGCAGAGGCAGGTGGATCTCTGAGTTCAAGGCCAGCCTGGTCTATAGAAAGAGTTGCAGGACAGCCAGGGCCACACACAGAAACCCTGTCTCAAAAAATCAAGCAAACAAAAAAGCCTGCTTATTTTTAACTGGGTATCTGAGGACAGCAAGCAGTCCAGAATGTTTTTGTTGTCTGGTGGCATCATTATTGAAGAATTCTGAATGTGTGTGCGTGCCTTAATTGCTTTGCCCACCACCATCCCAGTACTTAGAATCACCTGGGCCAGAGCAAGTCCTGAGCAGTTGCGGAGGGAATGGCTACGTAGCTAGACAGTGTGTACATTTTGCGACCCATTCACGGGCTTGTGGTGAATGAATGTTTTAAAGATTTCAGAGACAAGGACGGTGTATCAAAGGAGACTAACTCCAGGCTTTGGGAGAAAAGTTGTCAGGGGTCAGAAGAGTCCCTAAAAGTACTTCCAGATTGCCTTGCAAAGTGCGGTCCACGGCGCCATCTGCTGGAAGAAGATAAACTAGACTTATTTTTAAAATCCCTCAAGGACTGGGTCCAAGGATTGGTTGCTTTCCAGAGGCTGGTCAGAGGCGCGCAGGACACATCCGGCTGCTTGAAGTACACCATCAGGTATGTCAAGACGCGAGTCTCTGTGTGTATCTGCAGGGCTGACGCAAAACACAATGGTTAAGATTTCGCCTGATTCACAAACCTAAAATCAAAACCTGCTGTGGGGTAGATCAGAGCGGAGAAGATTCTTTGGGACCGAGTCAGGGAACTCAGCCCTAAGAATCTTCAAATAATTCTAATGCGCATGAGTCCCGTGGGAGACGCTGCTCTGTCTTCCAATATCTGTTGCTTTGGGGCCAGAACGACGTGACGACATCAAGGATTGACTTGTGGTCTTTGATCAGCTTCCTGGATCCAATGACAGGGGACCCAGCTGTTGGAAGGGCTATTCCAAGCACTAAGTTCCCAAATGCTTAGCTCTGCTCACTGAGCATGAGATGGGCCTGGTATTTCTCTTCTGCAGCCTCATCCTTAGAAAGACATGTCGGTGCCGCCTCTCACCCTTTGTGCGCCTTTTCTTTGCCCCCTTTACACGCATGTACATGAATACCTGTACACAGCCACATGATGTAACATATTGACACCCTCATTTGCCCCCTGCAAGGTTACTGTAATGGAAAAGACTAATGGAAGTCATCTCAGGACAGCTGAGGTCAATTAACTTCAATTACCCCGAGGAGCGTGGGCTCCTCAGACACCAGGGTTCTGCTCTACAGTGTCCTAGGCAGAGGACACAAGCCAGCCTGTCACAAATGTGCCGTCCAGTGAGGTGCAAGTCCCTAAGGCCTGTGGAGGGTGTTATACCAGGTGTCCACCAGGAGCTCTCCAAAGTTTGGAAGGAACAGATAAGAAAGTCAGCTTCGGGGGCTGGAGAGATGGCTCAGTGGTTAAGAGCATTGCCTGCTCTTCCAAAGGTCCTGAGTTCAATTCCCGGCACCCACATGGTGGCTCACAACCATCTGTAATGAGGTCTGGTGCCCTCTTCTGGCCTGCAGACATACACACAGACAGAATACTGTATACATAATAAATAAATAAATAAATATTTAAAAAAAAAAAAAAGACAGGGTTTCTTTAAAAAAAAAAAAAAGAAAGTCAGCTTCTAGTATGGCTGGAGGGAAAAGTGCGCACGGGGTGGGCCGGGTGGGGGAAGGATTTCCCAGGAGGGAGTTTTCTTGTTCTAGACTAAGTCCCAGGGAAAGGCTGTCGGGGCCCCTCTTGATGAGATTTTTAAGGTATGGCAGACCTGAGATTTTGGGGGTCCAAGGCTTGTAGGAGTCAGGGGTCATGAGTATAATAAGTAAACCACACAGTTTTCTGAGTGCTTAATAAGTGCCTAGGTCAGGGCAGTGAGTGGGGATAGCTGGGGTGGCCTTGAACACCAAGCTGAGTCTCTCAGCTGCATTCGGTGAGCACAGGCTGTTGGTCCTGAGAGGGTAGCGTGACCCTATGTGTCCTGAGCCTGCATTTTATACTCTCGGTTTCTAGGGTCCCTTCTGAGTTCTGGCAAATCTGAGAACAGGCAGAGCGAAATCGCTGGTTATCCCTGAAGTTGGTTATCTCTGTCGTGTGAAAAATTCCAGAAGTTCAAACATTTCTCCAGGTGCGCCGAAGCAATAAAAGGATTTCTGGGGCCGGGAAGATGGCTCAGCACTGAGGACTTGAGACTGAATCCTCAGAATCCACGTAGAGCTGGCTCTGTCCCTCCACAGCAAGGTGGGGGGCAGGGCCCAGAGCCTTCCTGGAAGCTTGCCAGTCAGCTAGGGCAGAGCAGCCAGCAACAGAAAACCAAAAAGATACTCTGTCCCAAAACTAGATGGAAGGCAGAGACCAATGCTGGAGGTCACCTTCTGACATCCGCACATGTGCGGTGGTTCATACATGCTGCCCACCGAACAATTTTTTAAAAGCCATGGATTTTCACTTTATTTTGTGTGAGAGTTATAGTCTTATACAGACAGTGTATTTAACTAAATACCAGCTTTTTTCCAACGTTTTGAGGATGGACGATGATTGCCCCTTGGTGATCTATGCGTGGCATTATTTGTCCACACCACTCACGTGGCACAGACTGACAAAAAGCTTATTCCTGGGAGTAGAAAGAATGCCTCATGGGGAGCTGCGACTGTAGGAGGACATGAGTATATTAAAATCATATCTGCACGATCAGGCCTGAGAACTGAGAAGGAATTGTAAGCACCAGGTTTAGGAAAGGGTGTAACAAAAGTGTCAAATAGTGAATTGTAATAATTTCTGGTTTGGCAGTGCTATTGGGGGTTGGTAATTGGGTTGACGAAGTCTGGAAATGTGGTAGCCCAAGTTATTGGAACACCACTTGCTGTGTGTAAAAACTGGTTGCTAATTCACGTACTGAACAAAACTTTTGGTGTGCACGAGTCCACTGTGGCATTTTGTCCAGCAGGTGGCGATATTGTGCTGCAGGGAGGCGGCAAAGGGTCGTCATTTCTGTGCTCAGAAGGAAATGGAAAGACTCTGGTTGGAAGCTGGTGGATTCTGCCTTGTAGCGGGAGTGAGGCCGCAAGATGTTTCATGCTGCTACCTTGTCATGGTTAGAGGCCAGCTGGCTTTCCCCAGGAGCTCAGCAAGGAGTGGCTCAGCTCTGGGATCTGCCTGAGAGCTGTGTGGGCCCTCCTTGCCACAGGAGAGCAGACACTCACTGGAGTCCCCCACTGCAAAGCCAGGTGACTGGATAGTGGCATACCTTGGACTTTTTCATATGACCCCCGCCTGCCACTTGGACTACTAGGAACCCAGTCAAACAGTAATGCAGAAGCTAAAAGTGTTGCGACTGAGACATAGGCATCAGCTGGCGGAATGCATGAAACCAGCGTGGGGAGCAGCGGTTACGAGCACACACACACACACACACACACACACACACACACACACACGGTGCACAAACACACATGCAGGCAAACATCCATACACATAAAACGTAAATTAAAAAATAAATAATAAACTAGTGCACGGATACATGCCTGTAATTTTAGTGTTCAGAGAAGGTGGAGGTGGAGGCAGAAGGTCCCAGAATTATCTCAACTGAAGGTCTCTAATTATATCTGGAAAACAAACAACAACAACAGAAACATTCATTTGTTTGTTTGTTTTGGTTTTTCGAGACAAGGTTTCTCTGTAGTTTTGGAGCCTGTCCTGGAGCTTGCTCTGTATATTAGGCTGGCCTCGAACTCACAGAGATCCGTCTGCCTCTGCCTCCTGGTGCTAGGATTAAAGACGTACACCACCACTGCCCAGCAACAGAAACATTCTTATCAAATAAGTTCACATACACAGATTCTAGGACATATCCTTTTGGGGCCCACTTACCGCTTACTATGCAGTCCATGTTTTGATGGCCACTGAGGTGGAGGTGGCCATGGATGCTGGCTCTGAAATTTCTGGTTTTGAGTAATTGTCCCAGCCATTTGTGGTGCCCACCCACCCCCTCTTTCTCTCCCTTCTCCCACTGACCACTGCAAACTGAGTGCTGACTGGGAACATCTCTCTCCTCTCCAGATCTCCATTGAAAGGCTGTCTGCTGCCTGCCCGCCTTCCACATAGCTTCCCCTTGACCAGGAAGACCCCCAACCCCTTCTCCCTGTTGGGAACTGTGGACCCAGACCCTGAATTTCCTGTGCCAGAGTAAACAACTTGTTATGCTTGCAGCTGCTCTGAGTAAAACAGCTTGTTTTTCCTATGCTTGCAGCTGCTCTGAGCACTACCCTGATGGCAGGGAAATGGTTTTGGTGGGCCTGCAGCTGAAAGATCCCGAGAGCTGGGGCGTGGCCAGAGCACTATATAAGCTGCCCCTGAACACAATAAAAGGGGCATTCTTGTTTCAAGGATGACTTATGTCCCGGTGTCTCTGTCTATATTTGTATGTGTTTAAATCTCTAGTACCTTTCCCGGCTCACATACCATCCCATAGTGTAGGCTATACATCTCCCTGCATGTCTGGGTCCCTGTTCTGAGAATCCTGTCTCTTTCTCACACCAGGAATAGCTGGTGGAGCCCCACTTAGGTCTGGGATTTGAAGCTGCTCCAGCCATTTCAGCACAACCAGAATCCTTAGCAACCAACACATCCTCCACACACAGCCTCAGAATCAAGGCACACATCAACACTGGCGTTCCTTGCATTTTCTTTTTCTTTCCTTTAGGTTTTTTGAGGCAGGGTTTTGTTGACAGAGGTTTTCTATCCTTCCCAGTCCCACCCTCTCTGCCTCTCCCTTCTCCCACTGACCATTATGTTCAGTCATAATAACATACAGTATCCAGACTCTGTGTATTTTCCATCTTTATGTGACTTTATTTTAAATTCTATTTCTTTTACTCTTATTTTTTTAAATATTTATTTATTTATTATGTATACAATATTCTGTGTGTATGCCTGCAGGCCAGAAGAAGGCACCAGACCCCATTATAGATGGTTGTGAGCCACCATGTGGTTGCTGGGAATTGAACTCAGTACCTTTGGAAGAGCAGGCAATGCTCTTAACCTCTGAGCCATCTCTCCAGCCCCCTTTTACTCTTATTTTTAATTTTTGGTTTTTTGAGATAAAGTTTCTCTGTGTGTCTTTGGCTGTTCTGGAACTCACTCTGTAGACCAGGCTGCCCTCGAACTCACAGAGAACCACCTGCCTCTGCCTCCCAAGTGCTGGGATTAAAGGTGCTTGCCACCACACCCAACTACTCTCTCTCTTTTTTTTTTAAAGGACTTTATCCTTTTTCTTTTCTCTCCCAAGCCTATATGTATGTTTAAACACACTGTAAATGGTTTAAAAGTTTTCTTCATCTGAATCTATCTTTACTATATATCTTTTTACTGTATACTGTATATCTTTTTCTGACCACATGAGTCTTTAATTGGCTAAGCGAATTAATACGGCTAGGATTAAAGCCGTGGCTTTGACAACTGGATCCACCCCATTCCTTAGCTTTCTGAGAGTCTTGCTTCATGGCAGAGGTACTGGCAGGAGCCATGTTTATTGCTACAGCTCTATGGAGTTCCAAGGTCCCTGCTACCACCAAAAAGCATTCTGT